CGTAACACCCACACAGAGCTGATGAAAAATTAATAGTCAGCCACCAGCTTAGTGGCTCATCAATCCAGGTTCTCTGTATGTGAGGGCGTGTAATAGAATTTTCCCAACAACCCCGCGACCCAATATAGTACCCCCATGGGCGTCTTAATGGGAGGGCAGGTCTATGCTCTGGTTTGCATGTAAAAGGTCTCAGGGAAAGCATAGAATCAGACGCCAAGTCTGGCATTACCTCACTCGCACAATCTGAAACAGGATGCCAGCATAACTCCAATACAGGCCCACCCAAAACTATTTTAACACCTTGGAGACTCGAAATATGTTTTTGAATGATTAATATTGGATGCTAAGTTTATTATATTAATAATCACGTGAGAATCCAGTGTGACACACCTTTAATGCAAAGGAGACCCACAGCAGCAAACATCCACCATGATCATGTAATAATTACGCACATAGGTGTTTGAGAACGACTGTTGTGGGAATTACTCTAAAACCTAAATCCCACCTCTATCTTTACCGTGAAATCTTCAACGTAAAATTAACTGCGCTTTAAAATTAATATCTCAATCAGTGGCGAGTGATACAGTGATATGTGAACATGTCCAGGGGCGCCTTCACCAACCTGCACTTACCAATGTGCAGTGTGGTCAAACAATGTCCTTGACTAACACGGCATGGTGAGGCCTTCATCCAACCCAGGAATAACAAAGGGCTCTAAAATATATTACAATGAATATGTATTAAGTTAAAGTGCCTTTAAAAAGCCTGTACTGTGTGTAAATCTCTACTTTGACCTGTCTCACGTCATATAAATCTCAGCACCTAAAAAACTGTCATGTCTTTCAACTCCTAGTCTCCAAAATTATCTACCACCACGACGTGCCATCAGCACCTACACATTATCCAACTTAACCAACACTTGCCGTGTTGAAACCTTCGCCTTATCAATATTGTGGCAACTTGGTTCTCTGTATATTTCCAAAATACATTATCTGCAAGTTGCAGGGGCTCCATACAGTATATCTGCAATATCCTCGTGTACTGCAACATTAACCGTGGCCTTGCATTATCTCACTTGCTGACCTCAGACTCCTCACCCCTTCAGCAATCTCTTCCTCCCTACTCCATTGCACCTTTTGGAGGCACTTCTCTGCTGTCTCCAATATCTGCACGAGCCTTCGCCTCACCATAAACTGCAGATTCTGATACTTTTCAAGTCCATAGTTATAACTCATTGTCTTTGCAGTGACATTTGTATGTCATTTAACATCCTCGAAGCCGGATCACGTAACTAAAGCCATACCGAACTGTGCTGTATAACCAGAATTTTAGGTAACACTATAATTAACATGCACTGTAGTTACTCTTATGGATCCTAGCAGTCACGAAAGCTTTAAATCTAGAAATGCACTGTAGTTGTAACATGTGCAGCCATTATGAATGCAGGACTCACACCCACCCAGTGATCATGAAGATGTATCAACTAGGGAGGTCCTGGAGATGAGCAGGAATCACCAAGATCCTTCTTTCTTCTCTTAAGTCACTCCCACTCACCCTCATATGCCCTCCATCAAACTCAGTTTACACCACTCATCACCTAGCCTGACAGAATGAGTCCACTTCTGTCCATGGCAAATTTTACAAACGCTTCTGCTTTCTCCAAAAATGTCATTTGTACAGTCAATATACAGTGAACGTGGAAGTTGCATAGCAATGCAGAGTACTATTTGCATGTTCTCCCCATGTCCTCCGGTTTTTCCCCTCTACATTCAGAAACATGCGTTTAGAGTATTTGGCTGCTGGACATTTCCACACGTTAAGCTACTTTTTTAAGCTATAATTTGTGGGCAGGTCGCTTCTGAAAAAGAACTATATAGCTCAGTGGCCCGTTACCTGGTGAATTAAGAAATAAATTACACTATTTGCCAAATTATCCAGAATGTGTCAGATCTCCGAAGCTAAGCTGGATTGAGCCTGGATGGATCATCACCGTGCACAAACAAGGTGATCAAAGTGCTATGTGGACAGCCGCACAGGGCAGTTAAGAACATATTAAATTGTTGTTCTATACATCTTTGGTTACTCACCCATGCTCCATGACTTCAACCCACACAGACCAGCGTGGTGAAATCCGTACGGACACCTACAAAAGGGTTGTATACCTGTTCATCTAAGAGTGCAAACTCGTTCTGTGGAACCCGCATCCCGGCTCCATTGTGGTTGCCGAAGCTTCAGCTTCTTGCCTGGGGGTGGATTGGCAAAACTACTGTGAGCCTCACCCACAATAAACAATGACTGCATATTACTCCTCATCCACCCCGCAGCGACACTTAATTTACATTGTTTAAGTAAAAATTAAATATGCACCGATGCGTAACTTAGCACTATAAATGAGGCCAAAAATGTGGAAGAATGCATCTAAAGAAAACTAACTTAATTGGTATTTACTATGCTACGAGATTATATAAATGGTCAAACAAAATCTTTAGAATAACGAAACTTTAAAAATGTGAAATAGCTGAGTCAATTAAGTTGATTTTCAGTTAATTTCTTGGTAAAGGCAGAGATTAGTGTCTCCTAAACCTAACTCCAGACCCTAAACCCTAACCCTTTAACCCACAGAGAGTATATGATTGAAAAAAAAGCTGCGGGGACAGTAGAGCCTGAGATCCAGTTTTTCCTCCCCGCATCTGCGTGCACAGTCATCACTGCCTTTATTAAGACATCAGATTGGGTTGTTTCAGTTTGATTGATGTGAGCATGCTAAATATAAAACACCTGGATAATAATTACTGCATGATAAGCAGTATATAAAAGCCATGGTCGCTGATAACTGCTAAATCGAATTAACACTGCACACAAATTGGCAGTCTAAACGAAAAACTAAACAATTTTTATTTTACCAAGTAAGGCCCACTGAGCTATATATATTTGTTTTAAAGCGAACTGGCCACAAATGATATCTCAGTGAAGTGGCTTATCACGTGGAAATTTATAGAAGCCAAATACTCTAAAACGCATGTTTCTTAATGTGGATGGAAAAACCGGAGGACCCAGAGAAAAATCCACGCGACCACAGAGAGAACATGCAAACTCCAAATATACAGGCGACAGGGTTAGGATCGAACCCACGCACTCCTGTACACCAGGCAAGGTAGTAAAAATCTATCCACCGCGGTGCCCAGTCACCTCTGCCATTTACAATCCAATCTCAGCAAAACAGTGAGCTCTAAAATGGTGTTTCAGAAATGGAACAGAACTTGATCACAACTTGGCACATGAATCAGAATAGTGGTGAGTAGATCATAACCGACAGCCAACACAAGCCCACCAACAATGGGCGTCAGAATTGACAACCCAGGAATGGTCGATAAAATCTTACCACGTGCATGGCTGATCAAAAGTGGACCAGGGCACTGATCAACATGCTTGAGCAGAAGATCTGACCTCACATAGAGGATACAGATGTGATCATCAGCAAGGGTGATTGACCATTATCGGGGGGATCAGATCTGACCACCGGAATAGAGATCTGATCATCAGCAAGTATAACTGACCATTAGCAGAGCAGGGAGATCACTTCTGACCACCAGCATGTGAGATCAGACCTGAACATGGAGATCTGCTCATCGGCAAGTATAACTGACCATTATCAGGATAGGAGATCAAATCTGACCATGGGCATAGAGATCTGATCATCAGCAACTACAACTGACCATTAGCAGGGCAGGGACATCAGATCTGACCACCAGCATGTGAGATCAGACCTGACCATGGGCATGGAGATATGATCGGCAAGTATAACTGACCATTAGCAGGGCAGGAAGATCTGATCACCTGCATGTGAGATCAGACCTGACCATGGGCATGGAGATCTGATCATTGCCAAGTATAACTGACCATTAGCAGAGCAGAGATCACATCTGAGTGATCTGACCACCTGCATGTGAGATCAGACCTGACCACGGGCATGAAGATCTGATCATCGGAAAGTATAACTGACCATTAGCAGGGCAGGGAGATCAGATCCGACCACCAGCACGTGAGATCAGACCTGACCATGGACATCTGATCATCGGCAAGTATAACTGACCATTATCAGGGCGGGGAGATGTGATCTGCCTGCCCCGCACGGAGATCGGACCATCATCATGTTAGGTTCACATCTGAACAACGGCACAGAGGAAACCCGATGTGACCACCACCAGCAAAGGCGCACGAGGGTTGCTTTTCCTGCCCGTCGATCGCCGCTGGTTACCGTCAGCGCGTGGATGGGCCACGCGCTGAGCGAGTGACGCCGTTATCACGCCGCCTTCTCTTCAGCGAACCTCGTGACCCGCTTGAGGCCTGACGAGCACAGCGCCGGGTTAACGCGATGTGTCGTTTCTAAAAGCCTGCTCTGAAGGGACGGCGAGACGCGCTGTCAACCAGAGTCAAGTTGCCGTTCGAGTGACACCACGGCCAGCGGTGGCCTCACTTCAAAGTTCCACAAGAGACGCGCCGATCGTGGACTTCCACAGTCCTCTCCCATGTTTCACGGACGCTTGAAATCCCACGTTTGGATAGCACAGATCGCACAACCCGAGCGTGCGTATCTACTAAACAGGATTTTTAAAAAAACCAAACACATTTTTACACGTCTATATGTACCGTAATTAATAACAGCTGTACAGTGCAAACGTGTGTGGAGGCTTCGAGCAAACGCGATCCGGTTGAGTCGAGCCTCCGCGGTCACGGGGGGGGAGGGGGGGGGGCGCGATGACGTCAAACCCGACGCCGTGACGCCACCATGCTCATGACGTCACCGCGCGACGGAAATGTTCCGCGTGTTCGACGTGACGGGGTGACGCCGCTGGCGGTTCGACGTCACGCGCACGTCGAACATTTCCAAGGACGCGGCTCGCCGATTGGTTGGCGGTGATGTCATGTATCCCCGGGGGGGGAGGTGGGGGGGGGGCAGCGCGCGCTATAAAAGGGGCGGTGCGGCGTGTTGGGGGGGTCGCAGTTTTGGCCGCCGCGCGCTGTGGTCGTTAAATTTATCGGTTGTCCTTTTACGTCTCCTTTTTTTATGTAAAATTTCTTCTCATTTCATAGTGATTGCTGTATTTTTTTATTACTCTTTCTTTTCTTGTAGGTGGGGAGGGGGTGGGAAGGGTGCAACAGCCGGCCCCGGTAATCGACGAAGCGCGCCGTCTGCTGTAGAGAGTGGACGTTAAAGACCCCGCAACAGCAAGACACTTTTGTGTGTACCACCGGGCCATTGTGTGAGCTGTGTTTGTTCTCATAGGGAATATCGCAGAGTCGGCGGTCGTCGCCCTGATTAACAAGTTCCAACCCTGCTCGAGTTAAACGACCACAGGCAGCAAAGCCGAGTTGTTGAATCTCTCTGGAAGCCGCAACGACCAAACAAATTTACTCCGCGGCGCCCGAAGGCTTCTTCATTCATCCTCTGCGGCTCCCATCATCGCAAATTATCGCCGAGCTGCGGCTTTTGAGCCCAGCCTCGGAGTGAAGCGGGACCGATCTCCCAAAAGACCCAGCGGCAGGAGCCGGCGAGACCCCACAGGGGTCCGGCAATCCGGGGACCCACCTCCCGCGCTTGCAAACAACGCCGGTTTGTTCTTCTTGGCACGTGGATCCCGCAAGCTTTTCGGAACATCGGCGGTCCACGAAGGCGCCAACAGCAAGGGGGAGCAACAAGCAAGCAGTCGCCTCCATGCCTCCGTCGCCACTTGAAGCGCGGCTCACGCTGGGGTTAACGCGGCCCGTCAGACCGCAGGATCTCGCCTTGTCCGTGTGCCTCGAGAGGAGCCTCTCGGCGCCGCAGCCGCCGCTACAGCAGCAGCGCTCCCCCGTCGAGGGCGACCCCGGCAGCGCGTCGCTCGCCATGCCGGCCACAGGCGGCAGGTCCGCAGGCGGGGGAGGCCCCGTACGGTCGCTGTCGTGCGGCTGCAGCAGCAGCAGCTGCTGCAGCGCGGTGCTCAGCTACGAGGAGCGGGGCGCGGGCGCCGGGGACTCTGCCTGCAGCAGCAGCAGCACAGCAGGCGGCGCCGGCGCGGACTCGCAGTCGGCGCTACGGGCCCAGCTCCTGCAGCCCGCGGGCTCTGCCGACTCCGTGTACCCGGGCCCCACGGGCGGCCTGCAGCAGCTAACGGCCTGCGCGCCCTGCGGGCATCTGCTGCAGTTGGGCAAGAGCGGTCTGCACCGCAGCCACCAGCAGCAGCAGCGCACGGGCAGTCCCGACCCGACGTGCAGGACCATCTGGCCCAACGAGCTCGCCAGGAGATTGAGCAGGGCCTCCAAGCACCGCGACCTGCACCTCCATCACCACCCCCACCACCACCACATGCACCACCACCCGTCGTCGTGGGAGCGCGACACAGCCGGCGCGGCGGGTCCTCTGATAATCGACTGCCGCCCGTTCCTGGATTACAACCGGTGCCACGTGCAGGGCGCACTGCACGTGCACTGCACGGACAAGATGAGCCGCCGGCGTCTGCAGCAGGGCAAAGTGTCCGTGGTGGAGCTGGCGTCGTGCCGGGAGGGCAAGGAGGCCCTGCGCCGCCAGCTCTCCACCAGGGAGGTGGTCATCTACGACGAGAACACCACCGACCTGGGCCGCATGCCGTCCTCCAGCCCGCTCTGCCTGGTCATCGAGTCCCTGCGCAAGGAGGGACGAGAGCCCATCGTGCTCAAAGGTGACCACTTCTTGGCGCTCGTATTCTGTCGTTGTTGCGGTAGGCGGAGAGTTGAGTGGACCGCGTCTTTCTTTATACCAACACGCACTGTGAATAGAGAAGAGGGTATTTCTGGCGTCCAGGGCACCACCATCTGGCTGCAGCACCCAAAAAGCCCCGGTGGGAATAAGGACCCTTTTCATCCTGGGGAGTAATCGCATCTGGTCCTGTATAATGGCACCTTCGCCAACAGTGTGTGTATGTATGTAGGACTTCTTTCGCACCCTACGTAGCCAAACGTGATTATCGGAGGTACCGGAAACACCTCCGATTCGTGTGGGCACATGGTCGCTGGACTAGGTTATATGTAACACATTATGCGGTGATACATTGTTGGCAGCATTTGTACAAATAACAAAACACCCAACGTTCATCAATAACACTGCCCTTTTGTGCTATGGAGAAGGGCCATTGCCCGAAACGTCGCTTATATATTTAGCTTTCGAGGCAGTGTTATTGACGAATCTTTTTTATTATTTAAAAGTAGTGGTTTGCTAGGGCGGTGGGGAGCAGATCGTATCACACCCAACAATCCCAATGCAGGACACTCCTAAAAACCGTATTGATACCAAGGGGCTTTTCTGGGTAAATAATATGCATTATGAAGTATATGAGACCTCTTTACGGACCATAAAAAGACGCGCGGAGGAACACTTTCCATGTACAGCTCTGCCCCCCTCATCCATAGCTACCACTCGAGCCATCTCGCCATCGTGGTCAATTGAAATCCGTCCATTGTCATTGTCAGACATTTGGTAATACGCGCAAATGAACGCTTTGAACAATTTCATCAAACATCCCATACACTGCCTTAATGGGAGGGCCCCCTCAGAGCGCACCATTGGGGGATGATTAGAGTGTATGTGATAAGGGCACTGTAGTGTAAAGCTCTGCCCACAGGGCTCATGCCCAATTCCCGCGACCGCACGCATCATCCCGCGCGATGCCCGCGGCATACAAAACGCGGGCTCAGCCTTCACGCCGCGGCGAGTGGCTTGCCCTGCCGTATCAGATTAAAGGCTCCGTGCATCCCTCGGCTTGGACGGCCGTGATTGATGGCAGGCCGTGTCCCAGGCATACTAATGGCAGCGCGCCGGCAGGGCCCAGTCACAGCAGCCGGGATGGGCCACAAAGTGTGTGTGTGTGTGGCCACCGTGTCACCAGGCACATTAAGACCAGTGCATCTTTTCTTCCACTTGCACAGGGTCGATGAGGTTGACTGCATGTTAAGCCAGTTGATTAAATAAGGATATAATGGGATGTCGATAAGAATCCAACTTACACCCATTATGCCGAAGACTGTTATCAAATCAAAGAAGCCATAAACCCACGTAAACATGGTTTTCCAAATAACCAGGAACCGGAATGAAATGACTTCATATGGGTGTTAGCCAGCCATGCATACTTAGTACAATATCATAACCTCTCTTTATGTTTAACACTAATGGTGCCTTAATGTGCCATTTCCCACCTAAATCCCCCATCTTATAGCATGCATTGTCGGGTTTTTGATGTGTTGCTACAGGCTCTTTGAGCCAGGCACGCCTGCCAGGCCTCTAGCTATACCCTTGGCAGGCATGAGGCCCGCTCCATCTGGTACAGCTCAATACAATTGGAATGCAGCATTTCATACGGTGCCAAAATGCTTGCCCAAAAAGGTCCAAAAACCTGGCTTACAAGCTCACAACAGTGCTCCTGCCACTACATTTGAAGAACTTAACAAAACCCTGCAGGCAGCAGCTCGTACTGTGTGTGAGCCTTGTCACTGTAAAAAAAATATGAAGCTATGAAAATCTAATGGTGTTAAAATAGAACTTGTTCGATATTTTTATGCCTTCTATCGCATTAACATTATTGACTTGATAAAACAGTTTGTGTACTAAGCATATGGAACGCCAGTCTCTACATTAAAATTAACACTCCATTGTTTTTACATATCCACAGGAGGCCTGAGCTCCTTTCGGCAACAACATGAGAATCTCTGCACCAGCTCCCTGCACGTGCCATCATTTCCATCGTCCCTGCATTCGAATTTTCCATCATCGCAGGGCTTGCAGATGCAAACGCTCTCATTTGGGTTCGGGGGCCAGGGGATGGGAGGCTCTGACGCCAGCACACCCGATGTTGAAAATGCGGAGATGACCGCAGTGCTGCCCTTCCTCTTCTTGGGCAATGAGCAAGATGCCCAAGACCTGGCACAACTGCAGAGGCTCAACATTGGCTACATCATCAATGTCACATCCCATCTACCCCTCTACCACTATGAGCGTGGGGCGCTGCGGTACAAGCGGCTACCGGCCACGGACAGCTGCAAGCAGAACCTACGCCAGTACTTTGAGGAGGCTTTTGAGTTCATAGGTCAGTACTTGATTTTACAACACTTGTAATTTCACATAATGCAGCTTATATTTACATTGATAAAATTGAGTTTAAAATGGGGAAAAAAACATTGTGTAATAACTATATTGTATATTTTTTTACATGTGTTCCATGAATGTGACATTGTTGTTTCTGCCATCTAACAGAGGAAGCCTACCAAAGTGGAAAGGGGCTCTTAATCCACTGCCAGGCTGGTGTGTCGCGCTCTGCCACCATCGTCATTGCCTACTTGATGAAGCATACGCGTATGACCATGACGGATGCCTACAAGTTTGTGAAAGGCAAGCGGCCGATCATCTCGCCAAACCTCAACTTCATGGGCCAGCTCCTGCAGTTTGAGGAGGACCTCAACTCTGGCGTAAGCCCTCGCATCCTGAGCCACCGCCTGGTGGGCCTGGAGACTGTGGTGTGAAACCACTGCAGGATCACACCTGTTAGGTTTTTGGGAGTTTTCTGCATGGAAGTCATCCCGCTCTTAAATACCGTTTGCGTACAAGACTCGCATAGAACTTCTTCCCATGGATATGAAGGCAGTGCTTTCTTTTGCAATGATGCTGGTACTGTTTGGGTGAACAGATACAGTATTCTCAGCCAAGAACTTTTCAAATGGTGAACCGAGTGCTAATCCTTGATATGCTGCTATTAACTGATATGTGGGTCACTCTTTGCTTTGTGGTGTACAATTGACATTTACAATCCCAACTCTTTTGTTGAAAGACCTTTTAACAGGAATAATCCAGTGCTTGCACAAAGTCGACAAGTCGTGACTCCTGGCCAGAGAACCAGATATGACAGCAGAATATTTTTTTTGTGCAGGGGAAATGCATTGAGCCCTGTGCCTTTCAAGATATGTGAGAAGAAAATCCATAACATGTTTTTTTTTTGGCAATGGACTGGGTGATGATGCACATTTTTTTACGAAGAGAATGAGTGATTGGAAACTGCTATTAACCTTTTAGTTTTTACCATGTACCAATCACTGTGCAAAAAAATGTTGTTTTGACCTACCAAGGGCTGCGGATAAATCTAAACTCGATAAGCTTTCCTATTTGTGGCAGTATTATTGCAATGTCAAATAAAAGCGATTTTTGTTACAAAAATCAAGACCTAAGGATATGAAGCCAAAAGGGAGGTACCAATTAAGGGTTTGGTACAGTCTGCTCCGTAGGTGCTCGTGCTATGTCCATTTTATGCTGTTGTGTGCCTCACACTGAGGACGTTTATATTTCTCAAGTTCTAGGCCATTAGGTGGCCTTTCATTACAATGTAATAACCACCGAATGAAATTAGAACTTTTTTTTCAAATGTTTGAGAGGTATATAAAGAGAAACATTCAAAGAAATGTGGTGTGTGTTTTGAAAACGGATGTATTTTATTTAACCTGACCTATGCTTCGAGGGGCAGGGTGAGGGGATATAGGTGCTGTTTATTAAAGCAAATGTTTGCACTATGCCCAGCATTTTCAGGAGCTAAATGTAATGAAATAAAACCAAAGACACTTTGTTTATATGTTAAAATTGAAAGAAAAAATATGCTCGTTTGATATGATGCTATATTTATTACTCTCATCCCTTGTACCTCGCGATCTTGTTTTATTTTGGCAATAAATTGTCATTTGTATAACGGTCCTCTGGCATAACCTTTTATGGTGGAATAGGAATATAATGTTGGTTTATTTTGTCAGCATTCAACACCCTAATGACTACTTTGACGCTTGTTTCCAAATTTGAACTATACAGCGTTTTCACTATGACAGATGCTGTTGGCACAATGGTGGCAGTTCTTCGTATTTGGTTTCCGTGTTCAGAATGATGAGGCATTTGCTTGCGGAAAAGTCTCCACTGCAGAATAATAATTACATTGCACATCTGACGTCTATTTGTGCGCACACTAAAATGTGCTCCATCAATAAAAGCCTCGATATAAAATTATTTTTGCACATTTCACATGATTACATTTTAGAGGGTGGCTGACAGCAAGTAGTTGCTGTAAAGGATTTTGCTTGTAAGTGACCCACATGGCATTCGGCCAGCCGTTTGTCCAAGCAGGCCAAAAATCGATACAGTTTGATCAACCACCCCCTTTTTCTGCTTGCCGTCCAAGAACACCTGGGCAAGGCTAAGCCAAGTGCCGGGAGGCATCAGCCGTGACTGGTTACTTGCATAAACTCATACTTTGAGACGTTATGAACCATACAATACAAAAAAACAAATTCGCTGGCTGACGCGTGAACGGGCAAGTTTGCAGTGGTATTGTCAGCGTGCACATCTGCGTAATGATGTCATCCACATCGCAGCGCTGAGCTAGGTTCGTGCATGCTGACTTCACCTCCATTTTGGCCGTATATCCCGCGCAAATGCACAGGCAGTGCTAGCCTGAAAAATAAAACCTTGAATTTCCTTGCGCCAAATGTGAACGTTACCTAATTTCGGTACAATTGTATGAAAATAATATTTGATTCGTGAAATCCTGAAATGACGTGCCATTTGTTCTTGCAAAAGTGAAAATGTTGGCACCAGCCACTCCACGAAAATTATGCAGCCCAGACTGTAGAGGACCAAATGATGTGGGTTTGGTCACAGGCACGAATATAACTTGGCTGAGACTCGGGAGGTTGACATGCAATTCACCTTGTAAGAGGGGTGTCTAGCGATAACGGTCGGCAGTGCTGATATCAGATCTATTCATAGACGACAGCACATGCATGTGTACACACATCCACCATCCAGGCTTACACATTCCCTGGCTCAGCAGTTCCATGGTGAGCCAGATTTGATCCTCGCCAAAAAAAAAAAACTCGTGTCCTTTTAAAACAAATTGCTGCACACTTTAATACACCTGGACAATGATCATCCACAACATAAACACTTTCCAAGTTGTGTGTTATATCTTGTGGTGCCATCATGATTTGACCTTGTAATCTTAATTTGTACCATATTCAGTTCCCAGTGGAGGCGGTTGAACAACTTATTTTTAAACGTCCACTCCCCCAATGCAGTATGCGTGCTTTACGTGAGCGCCAATGTTCAGAATGCGAGTTTAGGCGGACAATGGACGTGTCACAGTTACACATTCCTGCGGAGGGAGCTGGTAGGAACGTTGGGTTGCTCGGTCAATGGCAGGGTCAACGGCGGCACGTGGTGTATTCTGCAAATATGCCCGACTGAGGGCGGGCACAAAACGGCGTGAGTAGGTTAAACGTTGAGTTATATAAGGGGGCACCACGGAGTGACCAGCCCCTCCCCACCCAGCCCCACCCCTCCCACCCCCCACCCAGCCCCTCCCCACCCAGCCCCACCCCTCCCACGCCACACCCAGCCCCTCCCCACCCAGCCCCACCCTCTCCACCCAGCCCCTCCACACCCTCCCCTCCCTACCTTCCCCACCCAGCCCCTCCCCACCCTTCCCTCTCCACCAAGCCCCATCCCTCCCATTTTTGGATGCACGACGGACGGACACAATAATCCCCTGTGGGCTGGTGGTGTAACCAGGAGGTTCCTACCAGTAGAAAGGCTTTATCTATGCAAAATTGAAACAATATGGTTCAGATCAATTATTTGGTGATGCTGCGTTGGCAGTGGTGCACACGCATAATGAACGAAAACAACTCATCACCTTAGTCAATAACAACTACCTGGAAAGGAAAAACAATAGGTGACATTTTGGACACTGGCCCTCGTTCCTTTATAAGCTATGGAGAAGGATCATTGCCCAATACGTTGCCTATGATATATTTTTCCTTTTAAGGCAGTGTTATTAACGAATGTGTTTAGTTTATTTGGTTCGTTTAATAAGTACTGGTGTATAATTGTGTATATAATCCCTGCTCGTGTATAACAATGTAAGTTTCCCTTCCAAGATGAGTATAGTGCTTGTGTTAATGGTGTTAGCTGAGTAACCATCACCAAAAAATAAATGCATCAGTCAGTACGTTGTAATGTGGCTTTAGCAACAGAAAACACACGTAAATATTCCTTTAGCTTCCTATGCATAATAAAAGTAGTAAAAGTTGGTAATGCTGCTTTTCACCGTTACGCGTGACATTTACGAGACTGCAATTGGTGAAACCAGACTCTGTGATTGAGAATGTTGTTTGTGCCACTCTCAATAGAGTAAATAATTGAAATATGAATAGAGCTACAGCAGGGTTTTATTTCGCACTGATGTTGTGGGTAGTGTTTTATTGTCATTTAAGTGCTTATTTGTACACAACATAATTCCAGCCAATTTGTGTTGGCGATATCCGCATCCGTTTTTTTTTTAAACATTACAGTGCTTTTTGATACATTTATGGGGCAATTTCGAAATTAAACTCTAGTAACAAAGTATAACGCCAACCTTGGATGAACGATACGTGTGGCAGATAAACTGTCGCATATTGACCGTGCACATTATTCCTTTTAATCGCGTGCGTGTTTCATATGTGCTTGCCATGAGTGGTTTGGTTATATAAGGGATGCTGATATAAACCAAATCTTTTTAGAGCAAGAAGAACGTGCCAATGAATGGTTTTATTTAAGCAACTGACAAGTTCTCAGATTGAATTTAGCACTGCGTGTAATGTATAAGCCTACGAAGTGCAATAAATAAGACGAGCATTACCTCCCCTTGTCAAATACATCATAAGAAACGTGACCTTGTCAACCCAGGAAGGGCATTACACACACTATTAAAATAAATACGAGTCTTATTTTAAGAGTGGATGTGCCGATAGCTCCTGGTGAATATTCATTATGAATGTTGAACGTGCCTATGCCATGCTTTTAATGAGCACATGGCTAGAAATGGATAGAATGCGATGCAGCCAATTCTGCACAGTGCGGGCTATGTGCAGGCATCGATACATTGCAGATCTGCAGCTGCTGGGCTTCTTGGCTGATCCTTCTTACGTTCGGTAACTGGCATGCAACGGGACCTACGTATCAGTGCCATTGCGGTCGCAGCAGCATTTTAAATGAGCTGTTTTTAGAAGGTGGGAGGAGGGGAATCGCAAAGCCGGCATGAAGAGTACAAAATCATTCTTACACTACTACCACCACACAAATACGTCACACATCTGCTAAGCCAAGTGTACACGCTGTGTTTGGAGAGTGACACGTTTTACGTCTGTCACAACACAATCTGGAGGCGACAAATGTGTCCCGTGTGTGCATGCAACAGAGGCAAGCTTGTTTATGCTGTTGCCTCTCAATGAGTGCGTTACAATTGTTAGGACACGCTGCACTGGTATTCCCCGTAGCTATGCGTTTCATGCCTTCACATTTTCTGACCCGTACATCAATGCATTGAGGCATCCACCTTTCACAAAATCACCCATAATGCACTCGATCCCCTCACATCTTGCAAGCTGAGCAGGGTTTATGCGGAATTTTGTTTGGGTTGGCGACCGCCGTGCATAAAACTGGTGTTATAGGCTGCTACAAATGATATGCTGTGGGCAGCAGATGGCAGTGTGGTAAAATTAATTGCTGTAGTGTGCGCTATACTTCTATGCTCTCGAACATCACCGGGTCACTGTTCACCTGGTGCAGGTGTCGGAAACCCAAAAAACGAGAAGAGCAATTTTTTTTCATTCGGTCTAAAAAAACTAATTTTCAAGACTCAAAATGCACGTGGATACGAGACGGTGATCCTTTAAAAAATGACCTCATGAAGCAGTCCTTAATGAGCCACGTGCGGCTCCGGAGCCACAAGTTACCGACCCCGACCCATGGTAAACTGGACCCCCATGGTAAACTGGACCTCCATGGTGAACTGGACCTCCATGGTGAACTGGACCTCCATGGTGAACTGGACCTCCATGGTGAACTGGACCCCCATGGTAAACTGGACCTCCATGGTGAACTGGACTCCCATGGTGAACTGGACTCCCATGGTAAACTGGACCTCCATGGTGAACTGGACCTCCATGGTGAACTGGACCTCCATGGTGAACTGGACCCCCATGGTAAACTGGACTCCCATGGTAAACTGGACCTCCATGGTGAACTGGACTCCCATGGTGAACTGGACCTCCATGGTGAACTGGACTCCCATGCTGAACTGGACTCCCATGGTAAACTGGGCTCCCATGGATCGGCCTAACGGTAGTTAGTTCGTCACTTGTTGGAGGAGAGGTTCACGGTTCAAGTCCAGCGGCTACAGTGGTTATTACTTCGGGTATATCAACCATTAAATAGTGCCATCTGCTTCACAGTGGACGTTCTCCTGAAGAGAAAAACACTTGCCAGGATCCTCATGAAAGAGACTCACAAAACTCAGCGAGGCTTCATGAGTAAACAAGTGTAATAATAATAATAATGTCCCTCGTATTGCTCTCCCCCATGTACCGTTTAGAGGTAAGACCATACATATTAATCGCGGCACAACGTCGCTGTGTGTCTGCACACAAATCTAAATAATTTTTTGGGTCCAAATGCTTTTTTCCAACTCAACCTATTCAATATTTTTCAAGCTTTAAAACATCCTGTGCATAGTTTGTATAATAAAAAAAAACATATCTTAATGATGATAGGTGAGACAGGCAATAAAAAAACAAACATCGTTGAAGACTAAACGATAGTGATGATGATGATGATCACTTCTGTGCTACCACTGCTCAAGTGACAAGGCTTTCGGAATGG